CAATTTTAAATATAATAAAAAAAAATAACTAATAAGATACCAAAATAATTCACCAAAGTCTTGTAATTCAAAACAACAACAGCAACAACAACAACAATAATAATAATAATAATAATAATAATAATAATAATAATAAGTGTATAGTAGTAGTGGTATAGTGGTGCTGTGGTGGTAATGTGGTGGTGGTGTAGTGGTAGTGGTGTTATTTGTTATATAATAATAATAATAATAATAATAATAAATAACTAGTGGTGGTATGGTGTGGTGGCAGTGGTGTGGTGGCGATGGTATGGTGTTGGTGGTGGTGGTGGTAGCGGGGGTGGCGGCGATGGTGGTGATAGTGTGGTCTTGTACGGGTGGTGGTGATGATGGTAGTGAGGTGGTGTGGTGTTGATAGTGTTGGTGGGGTAATGGTCGCAAATTATGCCCTGGAATGTTCACCGTGAATGGTGAACACAAGTCCAAACGACGTCGTTTTTACGCAAAAAAAAAAAATAAAATAAAAATAAAAAAAATCGCGGATGTGGAGTTAACGGCGCGCGTTTGATCAAATTATGAATTTTCTATTATGAGATTACGAATGTAATGTAAATTTATAATCTCATAACAGAAAATTCATAATCGCATAAAGTAAAATATTTATTAAATTATGAATTTTCTGTTATGAGATTATGAATTTTCTGTTATGAGATTATGAATTTTCTGTTATGTAATTTATAATCTCATAACAGAAAATTCATAATTTCATAACAGAAAATTCATAATCTCATAACAGAAAATTCATAATCTCACGGTTCCAAAGTGAATGTGTAGGCATGGTTCCAAAGTGAATGTGCAGGCACGGACTCATAATTTATGAATGTCCGTGATTTCGGACGGGAATGTGTAGGCATGCTTCCAAAGTGAATGTGCAGGCATGAATTCATAATTTATGAATATCCGAAATCATTGCTCACCTCAAATTAAAGTGAAACCGCGAAATGTGAAAATGAAGAAGAAAAGTCACGTAATTAATTAAGGAAAAAAAAAAGATAACGGTGTACTAACACCGTTGGAACCGTGTTCACCATGAATGGTGAACACGGTTCCATGGCATAACGATTGGGTAATGGTGGCGGTGATTGTGGCGGTATGGTGGTGGTGGTGGCGGTGGTGGTGATGGTGGTAGTGAGGTGGTGGTGGTATGGTGTTGATGGTGTTGGTGGTGGTAGTGTGATGTTGGTGTAAAAGTTGAAAAATGACTTCCTTAACAAAAAAAAAAGGGAAGTCATTTTCCCCAAAACAAGCATATTTTCCAAAGTCAAGGGAAAACATTTTCCGTTGACTTGATTTTCCAAATTTCCAAACACCACGCCTAATTCCAATTCCAAATTAGTATTCCCGGTAATTCTTTTTCCACCAACCAAACAATGAAATTCATCTTCCAAGTAATTGTTTTTCCATGGAATTCCAATTACACTTCCCTTAAAATATTTTCCGCGAACCAAACGAGCCCTAAGTACTTCTGCTAAGAAAAGTCAAGGATCTTGGCTTTTTTTTTTTTTTTATTTTATGAGCTCCTCAAGACAGACCAATGCATTCCTGTTTTCCTAGATCTTCGACTTGGTGCCCTTTTCTTTTCATTCCAATCATGCTGTATAACATCAGTTACCATATCTAACAGATCAGCTCCTTGGAAGCAAAAGAGCCATAACCAACTAAATTGCATAAACTATAAGAGAAATCCAGAGGACTAAAGTTCTTATACCAGCACAAAGCACAGTGTTTTCTCCCATTTCTTAGATTTCAATGCAACAGACAGAAAACATATTGTTCAAATGATAAAACATGGCAATCAGCCTCATTATGTCATTGTTTTGGACTTTTAGTACAAAAAGCTGGGGTAAAGCACATTGTGTTGCATAACCAGAAAGAAAGCATAACAATATGCAAAAATATAAAAAATGTAGCAGTAAATATTCGAAAGGTTGAGGGGCAGGAGGTCAAATATAAAAGCTTCAGATGAGGGAACTAAAAACCATAATAAACAGGTGAAAGCAATATTCCATTCTGTATTACCTGTATCCCAGATTGCAAGCTTTATCTTCTTCCCTCCATATTGACATATTTCACCTTAAAATCAACACCTATCATTATAAAAATCAGCATATACCAGATTCAGAATGGTCATCAAATGAGGATAAAACTGAAAACTTTCCATTATAAAATATCAATTGGAAAAGCACACAGTGGACACGTATATGCAAATCAACCCCATGATTTTAACAAGCTTTTATGTGATTCCAAGGACACAAGAACGGAAATAAAATCTAAAGCATATGATTTTATTTATAATGGATTCAGAAAATGTCAAGTTATTCAAAACCCATGATTATCTGAACTCCGGGAAATTAGAACCAAAAAGAGCAGTACCAATGGTGGGGGATAGATCCTCGAAGCTTTCAGACGTGAAGCTTAGGAGAAGAGTGCTCTTCCCGACGCCGGAGTCTCCGATCATCAGCAACTTGAACAGGCAAATCAAACTCCGGGGATTGACTATTCGTCTCCATGATTGCTCTCTGACGATGGATAAACAATATGGCAATTCTCAAACTTATATATATATTATTATAAGAAGTAATTACAATGTAATGCAATATGCATACATGGATCGATTGTGCAGTTGTACGAAGAACGGGAAAGTGTAGCGGAAAATCTCCCGTCCCAACTCGGCGATCCGACTCAAAGCGCTTTCAATGAGTAGTGGCCCTTTTTTACAATGTGACACCAGCCTCACGAATTATTTACTTGTGAGACTGTCAGGGACGGGTATAAATAAATATAAAAATGCAAATATGCAATACAATATAAAATATATTTGTTACTTATAACTTATAAGAGATAGTCTAGTATTACAATTTTATTTTGACCAATCTGTCTCAAGGACCGCTTATCGGAGATGACCACGGTTCGATTCGAATTGAAATGTGGACTATTAAAACCGGATCGAAACCAGAACCGTACACTGTACGGATGGATAAGGGTTCCGGTTCCAAATCAGTATTTTTTTTAAAATAATTATTATGTATTATTATATTAAAGTTTAACTATTATTTTAAAAAATTTTAAACTTAAATAACATTTTAAAAATTTTAAATTTTAACTATAACAATTATTTTTTGGAAAAAAAAAAATCAAATAAGTCCCTAAACTTTATCTAAAAAGTCAATTAGACCTTTAAACTTTTAGAAGTTGCAATTAAACCTACAAACATGTTATTTTAGAGCAATAAAATCCACTAATCTGTTGGTGACCTGTAATTGCGGGTTAATTAGGATTCCAGCCAACTCCGATGAACCTCCAACAACCACCCGACTAAATTTCAGCAAAAAAGGACAAATCTAGCGACCGGCAACCATTGCCATCAATGGTCGCCGGTATTTGTCCTTTTTGTGGGAATTTGGTTGGATGGTTGCCGGAGGTTCATCGGAGTTGGCTAGAACACTAATTGACCTGCAATTACAAGTCACCAAGAGGTTAGTGAGTTTCATTGCTAAAAAATAACATGTTTGTGGATTTAATTGCAACTTCTAAAGCTTATAAGGGTCTAATTGACTTTTGGGTAAAGTTTAGCAATCGTTATACCGTGGACCCTGGTCCTATATGACGTCGTTTTGAACTTTAATTTTAACGGAGACCGTTTGTTGTTCAGTTTGCATTATAGTGTTTTTTTTTAACTGTAAAGTATGTGTATGTATATCATGTTAAGTGTTTCTGCACATCATGTTACGAAATTCTGTACATTAAACGTAAAGATTATGTACATGAAATTGATTAGTAGTTGTATAACACAACATGTGACACCCCGAAATCCAAATTCAATTAAGGGATTAATTGAGTAATTAATCCTATTTCAATTGTAATTTAATTCCTTAAATTCCTGAAATTTAATAGTTGGGAACTAGTAATTGACTAGTCAACCCCAAAGTCAAAGTTGTACATTGGACTTTGTAATGAGTTCTCTTGTCCCCTACACTTCCTTATGTTAGTAAGGGTAATTCTTAACCTTTCACTTGTGGTTGGTATTGTAACCTAACCTAGTAGACCACCTTCATTCTCTCCTTACACTTTTCTAAAAATCTAGCTCCACCTTCTCTCTAAAAAGGTGAGTAGCTTTTCTTCCAAGCCAAGTTGGAACCTTGCCAAAACTTCAAGAGTTGCTTCCAAGATTCAACCTTTCTTATATTTGGGCATCTAGAATGGTAAGATCTAAGTTCATCTTGTGTTTTTTGGTTTTATCTAAGGTGTCTTTTCTTAAAGATAGGATCTTTATGATCTTTTGGTATGTTCTTGAAGTGGGTTTGGAAGGTGAGCCTAGTGAGGAGCTTGTTGAGGTGTAAAGTGAAGTCTTTAGTCTACAAGAGCTAACTCATTGATAGGAATATTTTTGTAAGTTTTGATGAGCCAAATGTATCTTTAGATCCCCTTAGTTTTAAGTCTTTAGTACAAGCATCATAAATCAAAATATTGAAATCAGAAGGAATCTACCATAGGAAGAACAAAGTTAATTTGAGAAATTAATTTTGGTCCTACGAGTATTCATCTGTGAAAGGAAGCATAAAGCAATGGCGTTGCAAAGAATGACTGGATGAGCCTAACGGCGAAATGGTAGAGGTCCTTACTCTAAATGATCACACCCGAGATCGATTCCTCCCCAAGGACTTATGTTTTTTGTAAGGCAGATTTTGAAGGAGCATGATGTGTCTAAAAGAGCACAATGCCATCTAAGAAGCACAATGCTGTTAGAGGAGCACAATGCACAATGCCACCTAAGAAGCACAATGCTGTTAGAGGAGCACAATGCACAATGCCACCTAAGAAGCACAATGTTGTCGATTCCTCCCCAAGGACTTATGTTTTTTGTAAGGCAGATTTTGAAGGAGCATGATGTGTCTAAAAGAGCACAATGTGTTCGAAGGAGCACAATGCCATCTAAGAAGCACAATGCTGTCAGAGGAGCACAATGCACAATGCCACCTAAGAAGCACAATGTTGTCTAAGAAGCACAATGTTGTCAGAAAAGCACAATGTATCGAAAGAAGCACAATGTTCAAAGTTAAGGAGCACGATGTTCAAGTCAAAGGAGCACAATGTGGCAAAAGAGCAAGATGATCAGAAATTGGATAAATTCGAAGGAATTTACTCCAAGTCCACCCACATGCCACAAGACTCCAAAATTGCCTGAAAGACATTTGATCAGAACGGAAAAATATTTATGAAGGCATGAATATAAAAACTTATCCTAGAAATAAATTCTATCAGATGAATTTATTTCAAAGATTCGTTGGATATTCAAATTGACAATTAAAGTAATATTTTTAGAAACAACTAGAAAATTAAAGTTGTGCTAAAGAATTACTTTGTCAGGCAAGTTGACAAATCAAATCAAAATTGAAGATCTACTACTGTCAACAATATCAGGCTATGAAGATTCAAATTTCAAATTATCCCACTCCAACGGATATATTTGATTGACTATAAAAAGCCATGAAGACTTGAAGACAAAGTGTGTGGGGCAGAGGTGAACGAGATAGAAATGCAATACAAGTGCAAAATTCAAAAGTGCTAGTGCTCAAAATATTCTAAGAGACTTAGTCTGAATAGTCTCAAATCTAGTTGGAGAGAGAATTAGAGAAATACAAATCCTTGTATTTGTAAATTGTAGAAAGAGTGTAGCTGTGTGCAAAATACTCTAGTGAGTGTAGCTGTGTGCAAAACACTCGTAGTTGCTAAGTGTAGCTGTGTGCAAGACACTTAGTTGGCGTTGAGTATAGCTGTGTGCGGAATACTCGGAGTTGAGTGTAGCTGTGTGCGAGACACTTGGAGCAGGGTGTAGCTGTGTGCAAGACATCCGGAAGAAGTGCATGTGTAGCACTTGTTCACTATTGTAACTGTGTGTGGAAAATAGTGAATTTCTTCTAGACGTGAAAGGAGAAAAGTGGACTAGGAAGATTACGCCACTTCCGAACCACTATAAATTGTCTCTCTTATTTACATACCGCACTTACATTATTTGCTATATCTATCTATCTCATCCGACTAACCCGTTTACTATTCACAGTTAATCTTAATCATCCGGGTTTAGTGTGTTCTCACGTATGCATGTGACTCAAACTTCTCAAGCTTAAATACTAATTTATTCTAAGCAAGTTTGACGTGCTGCATGTAACATTCGTTACACGGACGACGTGACACGATATTTATTTACAATCTTGAATATTGTTATTATATATTGAGTGCACCATCTCCTTTATATATTCAAGATATCTCTGCCACTTTACATATCACTTGTACCTATCTTACTTATACTTGCACACTTAATTTACTAGTTGGGCATAACTCTTTACTATTATTCCGCTGTGCAGTACAAACTTGCTCTATTTACTTGTTACTTAGAGTTGAAGTTACCGAAGAGTTATTTAATTTGAAAAAGCTTGAAAGTCTATTCACCCCCCCCCCTCTAGACTTTCACCAACCTATCGGGACCAACAATTGGTATCAGAGCGGTTGTCTATTTGAGTCAATTTTGACTGCTAGACAGATCTCGAAAAATCAAGATGATGAAAAGAGATAATGCTCTTGCCCAAAATTTATTATTTTCCTTAGAAAAATTTGACGATTGGAAATTCGCATGCAGGTACATTTATCCGCATTACACGATGAAATGTGGGAAGTAGTTACAAGTGTCCTATTGAGATTTTACAAGTCAACACTTCATCTGTACAAACAAGTGACACTCCACAGTACATTCCAAAACCAAAAGTGGAATGGTCTCGTGAAGATAGAACAAGAAATAACTTGGACAATATTGCCAAGGATATTTTGTTTAAATCTATCGATGACACGATATTTCCAAAAGTTCGAAAGTGTCAATCCGCGAAGGAAGTATGGGAAACGCTCATTCAAATTGGTGAAGGAAACGAACAAGAAAAGGATAATAAACTCACTATAGCATTAAAGAAATTCGAGGATTTCAAAATGCTAACCGGCGAGAATATTACCGACATGGAAACAAGATTTGCCAAAATCTTAGGATAGATTAATGATCTTGGAAAAGATATTAATCAAAAAGAAATCTCACTCAAAATTCTACGTGGTCTACCATCTACATGGGACATGAAGGTCACAGGCATGAGAGATCATAGGGATCTAAAAACCCTATCAACCGATAAGCTCTTTAGTGATCTAAAAGCTTATGAATTTGAGATGAAATCAAGATTAGAGGAAGATCATGAAGAAAAGAACAACGCGCTTTATAGCTGAGCAACCATCAACCTCAAGGTCAGTACAAAATGTTGAATTATTGCCTAATGATCAATTTGCTCTCTTTGTCAAGAAATTCAGGAAATTCATGAAGAGAAGCAACTACAAGAAAAATCCACAAGGGAAATCATGGAATACAACGAAGAATTCGAAGAAAGAAATTATTGAGGAAGATTCAAATTTGTGTTACAACTGTAGAAAACCGGGACACTTTGCAGCAAGTTGTCCATATCCAAGGTGAGTAAAAGTCAGTACACAAATATTACTAACCCTCAACAGGAAGAATTCAAGCCCAAAGATAAAAGATTAAAAGAAAGAAGAAAAGCACTCATCAGTGACCCACTTGAAATAAGTGAGTCAGAAGAATCTTCAAGTGATGAAAGTGACACCTCAAAGGATGACAATGCAATGTTTTGCATGAGCATCTCCAACAACACACCACACGAGGACATGTGTCTTATGGCTAATGGACATGAAGAAAATG